CCTGGCCTTTGTGTGCTTGTGCGAATGCAGCCACAGATTCCCATGATGCCCTCATCTCTCCCACGGTCCCCATCAGTCTGGATGTGTCTGAGTGGGTGCAGCATCACTGTGTGGTGGGTGCAGTCCTGGCTTCTGTGTGCGGTGCTGGAGGTGGCTCTGGCTTCAGAAATCTCGCAGGAGGCTGGGCATGGACAGACGGGTGGGGGTACACAGTGAGTTTCTCCAAAGAAGCAGTGGAGGAACTTTACACATGAACCCCCATTTGCTTGAAATAAACTTCTTAACCGACTGGACCACAGCCCCAACCTTGTTCTTTTGCTTCTCAGTCGGAGTCTCGTTTTTTGGAGCCCCGGCCATCCTGAAGCTCCTTCTCTAGATCAGGCTGGCCTTGAACTCACAGGGATCTGCCTCCTTCAGCATCCTACCCAGTAGAATGAAAAGCAAGGGCCACAACACCCAACTGCATCGCATCTTTGTAAAATTTATTTTGTGCGTTTCATGTTTTGCCTGTGAGTCACACTCATGCTGTGCCTGCAGAGGTGACCTGAGGGCTCAGAGCCTGGACTTGACCTATGCAATAGCAGCGAGTGTTCTCGAGGGACTGGCCTATATTGTAAATCCATCTTCCTTGGTCTTTTTCTGAGTCTGGTTCAAGCCAAGGCTCGGGAGGTGGCCTAGAGGCTGGATGATTTTTGGTTTTGTTGGCTTTTTATTTATTTATTTTTATTTTTTTTTTACTTTTTCCCTTTTAGCCGGGCAGTGGTGGTGCACACCTTTAATCCCAGCACCTGGGAGGCAGAGGCAGGCGGATTTCTGAGTTTGAGGCTAGCCTGGTCTACAGAGTGAGTTCCAGGACAGCCAGGGCTACACAGGGAAACCCTGTCTCCAAAAACCAAAAAAAAAAAAAAAGAAAAAACCTTTTTCCCTTTTGAGGTAGAATTTCAGAGGCTGGCCTTGAACTTGCTGTATGGCCAAAGAAGACCTTGAACTATCAATCCTCCTGCCTGTACCTCCAGAGTGCTGAGACAACAGGCTTGCCTCTCCAAGGCAGTTGACTTGGTCCTGGGGATGAACCACAATCCCACACATGCTTTGTCCCCTGAGCCCAGGCTCAGGTACTTGCATTCATTTTCTGGTTTAGTAGTTTAGGCTCTTAAGTTTGACCAGGGTTCCAGGTTCCTCTGTGATTTCCTGACTGTGTGGTGCAGGGGTGTCTGTCTCTTAAGCTTGTTTTTATTATTTGTAGTGTATGTTGTTTGTACATAGATACTGTCTCATGCATGGAGAGGTCAGAGAACAACTTAAAGTTCTCTCCTTCCACCATATTGGTCCTGAGGATTAAACGTAGTCAGGCTAGCAGCAAGCCCCTTTTCATGCTAAGCCCTCTTACTGGCCTTGTATTTAGTGTCTTGAGGACTAGCCTGCAGTCCAGGCTAACCTTGACTCCCAGCATCCTCCAGGTTCAGCATCCAAGCGTGGGGATGACAGCTGTCTATATGTCCAGTCTGCCAACTACATTTTATTTGTTCTTAGTTTTTGGCTTTTTGAGACAGGGTTTCTCTACGTAGCTTTGGCTATCCTGGAACTCATTCTGTAGACCAGGCTGGCCTTGAACAAACAGAGATTGCCTATCTCTGCCTCCTGAGTGCTGAGATCAAAGGCATGCCACCAGCCACCATGCCATTTTTTTGTGGGTTTTGTTTCTTGTTTACAAACTACATTTTATTTTTTATTCTTGTAGTTCAGCCTCGGGAGGGGTGACTAGCACCTGCTACCTTCTCTGCCCTGCCCTTCCCACAAAGGTGGTCCTGGGACATGCAACCCACATGAACTCAGTGTGAGGCTCTACAAGTACCTTGCTGCTAGCCGATTTAGGTGAATCCCCAGGTCCTCATAAACCAGGGTGGGGCACGCCTGGCATTTTAGCACAGTGGACATGGGGGGGGGCATAGATCAAAAAAAGTTCAAGGTCTTCCTCAGATATGTAATGAAGGCTACAGAGACGCTGGGAAGGAGAGGCCAGCTTAACCCAGGGATAGGAGTCAAAAGACTTCTCAGCTACCCTTGATATCAGCAAGAAGGGAAGGGGCCTTTCTTCCTTGGGGTGGGACTTCCTATGGGGGGGGCTTCCTGGTGAGGGGTCAGCCAGAAGCCTGCAGCAAACCACAGGCACAGATAAAATGCCTGAGGGCAGGATGACTCAGAGATGGTCTGGACAGCTAGAGTCTAGAGTCCTGGTCAGCACCTCAGGGGCCGCCCTGATCTTGGTAAACAAGATGTCTTGGCCCCAGGCCAGGACCTAGCCACGAAGGTTGTCTGGACTCAGCTCTTCTTTAAGAGAGGAACTAACACATGGTTGGTTGCCAGTGAATGTTAGCCTCATGGACATACAATTTGGCTTCTTGCTTTTTCTTGTTTTTATTCTGAGTCTGTGTGGCCCTGGGTAAGTCTGGAGCTCAGAGCTTCTCCCCAAGTGCTGCTGAGATTAGAGATGGCTCATGCACTGCCCTGCACTACTTGGGGATTGAAACAAGCCCTCCCTGCCCCAACCAGAGTCACACCCTGAGCTGATTTACACATATAAGTCACGAGAAACTTTGCTTAGTGGCTGAGAAGTGGCCTGTCCAATTCACAGTTACTCAAACAGTATAGTTCATGAAAAACCACCAAGGTGGGGCGGCTAGGAAAGTTAACTGTAGGGTGCTGGGTATGAAACCCAGGGCTATTCCTGCTAGATGGGTGTTCTAGCCACACCCACCTGACTCCCTGAGGGACAGAGTGGCTCCCTGCCTCTTCATTGTTCGTAGAGGAGGTGAACTTGGGTCAAGCTTGCTCCAGGCTCTCAGCCTATGGAGACCAAGGAACTAAGTGAGAACCTTCAATGTCACCTGTCCCTACTCTCCATCTGCCCACACTGAAGCTGTACCCCTTGGAGGCACTAACTTCATCCCTTCCCTGCCTACAGGGATCAGAATACCCACCCCAGGGGAAAGTGAGACTTCCACGCCCTTGTAGGCCTGGCAGGTTTCAGCCAGGATGGCTTTTCAGAGTGTCCCTCTAGAGAGCAGACCAATCCTCCTACAGACAGGAAGGGAAGCCTTCAGGAGTCTGCTGGGAACTCCAGAAACCTCATTCTGAATGGAAAACACCTCATCTTAGGACCTGAGGTGCCCAGAGCTCTGCAGGAGGGAACCAGGAATCAGCAGCAGTCTCAGGCTGCCTTTCTGCTATTCCATCAGTTGCAGGACAAAGGGACAGGTGGACTGAAGCCCACTGGAGTGTGGATGTAACCAATGTTTAAGAAAAGATGGGAGTGGGCTCAGTGGTTAGAGCACTGACTGCTCTTCCAGAGGTCCTGAGTTCAATTCCCAGCACCCACACGGAGGCTCACAACCATGTGTAGTGGGATCTGATGCCCTCTTCTGGTGTACATGAAGGCAGAACATTTATATAAATTAATATTTTTTAAAAAAAGATGGGGGACTGGAGAGATGGCTCAGCGGTTAAGAGCACTGACTGCTCTTCCAGAGGTCCTGAGTTCAAATCCCAGCAACCATGTGGTGGCTCACAACCATCGGTAATGAGATTGGATGCCCTCTTCTGGTGTGTCTGAAGACAGCTACAGTGTACTCATCAATAAAATAAATAAATATTAAAAAAAAAAAATCTTAAAAAAAAAAAAGATGGATTTGGGTAGAAGACACAGCACAGAGGTTAAGGGCACTGGCCATTCTCCCAGGTCCAGCTCCCAGTACCCATACATCCGCCCACAACAGTCTGTGACTTCAAGTCCAGGAATGTGAACTGCTGACATCCTCAGAAACCTAAATCACAGACAAAAGGTAAAAGGCTGGGGTGGTATAGAGGCAGGTGGATCTTGTGACTTCCAAGCCACACAGGCCTGACTCTTGTCTCCAGATGTGAGAGCAGGAGCCATATTGAACATGTGATGCCAGATTACCCCTAGGGGAGGTAGAAGCCACCTACCCTGGAAGCTCCCTGGCTGACAGCCTGGGCTATCCTCGCCTCCACATACAAGCAGGCAGGATGGCAAAAACAGATGTTTTTAACATACTTGGGGCAGCACACAACTTTCAGCCCAGAACACAGGAGGCTGAGGCAGGGGGACTTGAAGTCTCAGGGCAGTCAGGGTTACACATACAGGGAGACCTTGACCCAAAATGGAGCCATTTGAGTTCACTGCATGAACCGCACACTCTACCCATGTGCCCTAGACATAGCGATGATGGCAGGCGAAACAACCCAGCATCCACACAGGCAGCCATCGACAGGCTCCGTGAGACCCAAAGGCAGCAGTATGGAACAACGGCAGGAAACATGAAGAACAGAACTCAGTGATAGGAAGTTAACTCCTGGATGCTGGAGGCAGGCTGACCGGCTGGCCTAAGGCACTAACATGGCTGACACACTGTCCTGGAACTAAGGGCTGCAGGACCTAATGAACAGAGCCAGCACTACTGGGCTGTGTGAGGAAGGGTGGGGACTTAGGCACAGCCAACACTGGTTCAAACTGCCGGTGGCCAGGTGCTTCTAGACTCAAGGGCTGTTAGCGGGTACCAGGGCATAGGGGAGCCGGAGGCAGGAGGCTCAGCTTTCCAGGCCAACCTGTGCCCAGGTTGGGACTTTGTCACCTCAGCGCTGAGGTGACCATCCAGAACATAAGACTTAAAGGTCACCCTGGCTACTCAGGAAGCTGGAGGCCCTGTCTCAAATCTCACAGTGGACAAGAAGAGCTGGGTGTGACCCAGGGGGCTGGCGAATGCGTGGCACAAGTCCTTCCGAAACAGTTCCACAACAGCGAGGCTGCTGTGTGGTAACTGAAGTGTGTCTTCTGACATCAGTCCAGAGGTAAGAGTGACAAGGCTGACCGCTCAGGCAAGAGCAACTGGGGGCTACGGGGGGAAGATTACACATGTCTACCCCAAGCCAAAAGCTCTAGGACCCACCCTGCAGGGTACTAGGACCAATGACACAGTAACTTATTCACAAAATACCTTTTATTTCTCAAGAGAGTCCTACGAGAATGGAGAACTCTGAACGGTGACCTCAGAATGAGGAGCGGGGATGTGCCTGTGGCTCTGAGGTTGCTCATCCTGCGAGAATGGCCAGGATAGAACCCTCTGGTCAAAAGAAAATCCGGTTATGACCCCCACACAGGGGCCCACGGGAGCAGCAGCTGCGGGCCTGATCCTCTGAGGCAGCAGTGTCTGTCTGTGTCAGGAGGCAGAGCAGTGGCTGCGGGCTCCCCTGCGTACAGCTGCTGTGGGCTCCTTTACACTGTTTTCTAGGAGAGACCCTCACACCTCGAAAAGAGTCTACAAACTTGCCTTCAATTGCAGCAATCCTCCTGCTTCAGTCTCCAGAGTGCTAAATTCTCATTGGCAACAGTACAGGTTTTGGGAGTTTTGTTTGTTTGCTTGCTTGCTGAGAGAAGGTCTCCCTCTGTAGCCCTGGAACTCACAGAAATCCACCTGCCTCTGCCCCCTCGGCATGAGGACTCAAGCCCTGCCTCTCATTACATTTTATTTTTGTGGGTGCAGCTCAGTTCCTCTACTGGGCCAAGGACAGGCAGCAGGGGCCCCCAGAGACAGCGTGGAACCCCCTTATGCTGGGGCTCACCCGCAGCTACTGCACCAGGCGGTAGGTGATGTAGCGGCCGGCTGTCTCACTGGGGCGGATGATCTTCACAACCTGTGGGAGCAGGCAGAGTGGGGGTTGACAGGGCCTCAGCATCAGGGGCGAGGAACCACCATGCCCTCTGGCCATGGTGGCCCTGGCCTCAGAGAGAGGGAGGAACCAGGGGGTATTAGGAACCAACAATTCCCAAAGGGCCTAGGATGGGAACAATGGCCAAAGTTTCTCACCTGCCCTCGCTTGATCCCGAAGTACCGTGCCACGGGGTCCCCGGCCTGGATCCTGGGCAGCTGGCTCTCACGAAGCTTGCTGCAACCGTCAAGGAAGTGGCTGGCAGGCAGCGCTGGGGTGAGGTGGGCAGTGCTGGGGTGAGGGGATGGGGACAGGGTAAAGGATACTATCGAGCCAGCAGTTCGGTCACCTCCTCCTTGGTCATAACCACATGCTCAGGGACTAGCTGTGGAAACAAAGACCCACCCACAGCCATTAGCCGCCAGGACCTCAACGGACCCCAACTGGCTGATGGGTATTGTCACAGGGCTGGGACAGAGGACACAACCAGGCTACTAATATCACCAAGCTGGATGCTCAAGGCCACTGCACCAAACGGAGGAAACACCCTGGCCCAGCTCATGAACAGCACTCCCTTGAGACCAGGGAGGTCCATGTCCTGTCTCCTGATCCTGCTCAGGCAGGGTGACACTCTACCCCACCATGCCACCCAGACTCTGCGACACACGCACCTCGTGTTCCGTGATATTGATGAGCAGCTCCTGCTGTAGAAACTGTTCTAGCACGTACTTTGGGGCCATGTCCACTAGGGACTGCTTGGCCGAGGGTGTCATGCCCTGCTGGACCACGATCAGAGCCCGGGTAATGTTCTCCTCCTGCATGCGCTGGCAATACACCTTGATGGTCTTGATGCCCACCTTGGGCTCCTCTGTGGACACAACAACCATGACCCTCACACCCACGGCTGCAGCCTGTGCTCTAAAGTTTGTCTACTTGCAAAGGAAGACCAGGACATCAAGGCACCCGTGACAGAGCTGCCAGAGGGCTCAGATCACTGCAGAACAGAGCCTGGAGTTCGCAGGCCCTGCTGGCCCATTCTGGAATGGGGTGAGGATTCTCAGCAGGTCTGGGGCTAGGAGACATGCGATGGTCAGCTTGGGCAGCCTCCAGGAGAACTGACTGACTAGGAGATGGGTCCTGTGGAGCATCAGGACCCAGAGTGCAGAAGCAGACCCAGGTCACCTAGTCTGGAAATTGTTGGATCTCAGACTCTACAGGGTTTTCTTTTGTCTGTGTGAGACCTTATGTAAAAATGGGTATTTAGAGTATGATTCATAATAGAAGCAAAATTAGTTATGAAGCAGTAATGAAGATTTTATGGTTGGGGGTCACTACCTGAACTGTACCGAAGGGTCCCAGCATCAGGAATGCTGAGAGCCACTGCCCTACATAGTTCTGGCTATCCTGGAACTCACTCTGTAGACCAGGCTAGCCTTGACTGCCTGCCTCTGCCTCCTAAGTACTGGTTTTACAAGCACATGCTACCATGCCCATCCCTGCACCCCCAATTCTCACACTAAAAACTCAGGCCCCAGGGCCACCATGCATCAGGTGTAAGAGGAGACAAGCTATCTGGGGGGACTGGAGGCAGCTGAGCAGGGAGGCCTGGGACGCCCAGCAGCACTCACTCCCACAAGACATCTCGCAGAGCCGCCCTGCTGCAGGCAGAAACTAGAATACAGCACACAGGAGTCAGGGCGACTGAGAGTTGTTCCTGGGACTCAGGGGTGAAAACGATGCCAGCGAAAGGGAAACTTCCCAGGGGAGACAGGGACAACAGTCCTACAGGCAGCATTAGGCCAGGCTGGGACACACCCACTGGCTGGGCAGACAGCACGGAGGTCACAACAGGGAGAGAACTGTACTGGAGCCAGGGCCTGGAGGGCCACCAGAACGGGAGGCCCCCAGAGGAGGCCACTACTGCCCGCCCTAGGGCACTCACCTGGGAAGAACACAAACATCTGGTCTGTGGGGTCATCGTTGTGGGCCACCAGCACGGTGAGGTCTGTGCGCCTTGGTCGTCCTTCGCTGGGCTTGTCCCCAAACTGGGCCTTGAATTCCTCTAGTGTCTGGTCCAGCTCATCCTGGGTCACCAGGTAGCCACGGTCATGACACAGCTGCAGAGACAAGAGCTAGTTATCTTCAGCACTCAACAGGAGGAGAGCTGGGGACTGTAGCGCACAGACCTGACCCTGAATGACCGAGGCTAGTTGGGGACTAACACTGAGCTGACCCAGCAGTACCCAAACTCTGCATAGGCTGACACCACAGAGGCCCCAGCCATGCCTCCCCTCCCCACAGCCTCACTGGAGCAGGCTGGGGTTAATCCCCTGACAACTGTAGGCAGTGTTTTGAACATAAGCACCTTCCTGTCCAGTCTTGGGGCCCCCTGATGGAGGGACACTAGAGCACCATCCAGGTTCGGGGCTGAGGAACAGGCATGAAGCTGCCCAGACCAGGTCGTGGGCTCCACCGACACGGCAATCAAAACTATGCTTACCTCTTTCTCCACTGGGGTCTTCTCAACTCTCCCCACCGAACCCCCGATAGGGTTTCTCTGCATGACCTTGTCTATCCTGGAAACCACTATGTAGACCAGGCTGGCTTCTAACTCACAGAGATCCGCCTGCTTCTGCCTTCGGAGTGCTGGGATTAAAGGCGTGTGCGCCACCATGCCGGCGTGTTCTATTTTTTTTTTTAAATACTCTTCTTGGCCCTATGTATGCCTGGTGTCCTCGGAGACCAGAAAAGGCCTTCAGACCCCCTGGAAGTGGGCTTACAGATGGTTGGTTGTGACCTACTATGTGGGTGTCGGTGGTGAGGCTACCTAGCTCGCAGAAAACCAGGGGTCCACTCCCATCACCCCATTTCCGTTTCCGAGGCAGAGTCCACCCAGGACATTCCCTCTGAGGCAGAGTCAGGTTAAAGCAGGAAGACTGTCGGGAGTTGAGGCCAGCGTGGGTGGACCCCACGCTTTAAGCGGGGATGCACCCCAGAGCCTGGGAGGCTGAGGCAGGGTTGGCCCCTGTGGGAGGCCGGCCTGGGCGGACAACCGAAACTCAGCGCGCGCTCAAAACCCGCCCACGCAACTCGCCTGCATGATAGTCTTGCGGATCTTCCAGAGCCGGTAGGTCTCCTCCTCGTCGTCCATCTTGTCGCTCTTCACAAACTACGCACGCGCGCTCGCAGGCCGGCCAGCACCGAGCCTGTGCCCGCCCCAACACAGTGCGCCTGCGCGGAATGCCGGGAAGGCCCCGCCCAGGTCTTTGCTGTCTTAGGTGAATGCCGGAATAAGCCTACTTTCCAGGATGGCTGCGCGGCGGGCAGCCCCAGCGCTAACCGTGTTGGTGTCTGCGCGAGATCGCGCTCTGAAGATCTCGCGATACTTGACCTACAATAGGTGTTGTTTGTTGTTGTTTTTGTTGTATTGTTTTGTTTTGTTTTTCCCTTAGGCTTTTGCAAAAGAAATCCGGACTGGAGTTCACGTCTTTAATCCCCAGCCGAGGCAAGCAGATATGTGAGTTCGAGGCTAGCCTGGTCTATAGCCAGGGCTACACAGAGAAACCCTGTCTCAAAAAACCGAAAAGGAAGACAGAAAAGGAAAGAAAGAGGGAGCCTGGTGACGAAGAGCCAGTTTCATGTGCCTCAGTTTCCCTTTTTATTACAAGTTTTTATTAGTATACATTCACTTTGCATGAGAAACCGGATTTCAGCACCCACGTGAGGTGGCCTCACAGCCATCCGATGGCTCTGGCCTCTGTGGGTACTAACCGATCCGTACCCACATGCTGACACAGATAAACATAAAGTACTAAAAAATGTGAAAACCAGCCGGGCGGTGGTGGCGCACGCCTTTAATCCCAGCACTTGGGAGGCAGAGGCAGGCGGATTTCTGAGTTCGAGGCCAGCCTGGTCTACAGAGTGAGTTCCAGGACAGCCAGGGCTGCACAGAGAAACCCTGTCTCAAAAAACCAAAAAAAAAAAAATCTAAAATGAAAGAAAATGATGTATGGGCATACACACAGTGAACAAACAAGAGTGTATGTGGCGGGCGAGCTCGTGAGAAGTTTGACAAGGTGATGAATGGATCCTAGCAAACGGCTCCCAGGACTAAGCCCTTCTAGCTGTAGAGCTGGATGTCACAGACAGGCCTGTTTGTCTTCTTCTTTGGGGGAGTGTGCTGGCTTGAAATTTCTGTACAGACCAGGTCTCAACAGCACAGAGAATGGCATACCTCTGCCTCCTCAGTGCTGGGATTAAAGGCGTGTACCACCACGACTGGCAAGGCAGTCTACATGCCAGCTGGACTCACCATTCTGTCCTGAGGCGAGTCTGACCTCCAGGTTTACAGTTTATCGGTTCCTACCTGGCAATGTATGCTGATCCTGACTTGGAAAGACAAGTTTTTGCCAAGTGCACCTGACCACTGAGCCCACCGTATGCCCTGTGGACCAAGGGGCTGAGACTGCTACACTTGGCTAAGTGTACATTTGACTCCAGCACTCTGGAGGCCAAGTGGGTAGATCTTTGTGAGTTCCAGGCTGGGCCCTCTCTCTCTTATCATCATCTCTCTCTCTCTGTAGCAGGGGAGCACCTGACATCCACTTCCAGTAGGAGACAAGACCCTAAACTGTCAGAGCCTAAGTATGTGTACTTGGGACATTAGGAAAACAGCTGGTTGCAAGGCAGGAGCTTCCCAGAGGCCACGTGGTTAAGTGCCACTGAGGGCCAGCCTCCAGCCTTAAGAGCATAAACAAGAACCAGCCTGTAGGATCCCCCCTCCCACCTCCTCTATGCCCGGGATCCTACCACTTGGTGTGTGACTAGTGAGATTAGGGTCTCCCTTTCCTGGGTCCCTCTCAGCCTGTGTCCTCCTCACCCATCTCCATTCTTTTCTGTCGCCAACTGACTGCAGAAGCGTCTCTACCAGGGATCCGAAACCATGCCACAGAGAGCAACAACCAAAGAACTGAACACTCACCCTGTAGGAATTTCAGGTCTCAGTTTAAACAAAATTGAACGAATCTCAGGTTTCAGTTTAAAGATTAACTGCCCCAGGATACATCCCAGGAGGAGCACATTCCAAAGACTTACACACACATCCAGGGGAAGGGCCCAAGATAGAAGTAATCAGGAAGCTGGGCCCTTAACGTTTGAAACCTGGGCAAACAGAAGCCACTTAGCTAACACTCATTGTTATAAAGATAATGTGATAATCTGAGTCACCTAGAGACCATTGGGTCAGCCTTTGTGGTTATTGTTTAAGAGGTAAAACTGCCCTCGTGAACTGTGAAAATGGAATGGTATAAAAACTGCTCTCAGCTTTGGCTCGGGGTTCCTCTTGCCTGCGTGTGAGGGAACCCCAGTGCACTGGTCGTCAACAGTAAACCTCTTGTTATTGCCTCGGATCCTCTGTCCGTGAGTGTTTCTGCTGGAGGAGCACGTCCCCTGATTTAGATCTTAGAGTCCAACAATCCAACAGAGAGAAAACCGGACTTAATACCAAGAAACACTTCAAATATTGTAACTCCAGAGGCCTAGATCCCATGGTAAAGGCTTCTGAGGCCCCTAGACCTTAGCACAGCTGATGGATGTACCATTCAGGCTGTAAAACTCAGCACAGACAGTACCAACTACCAAGACAAAAACAAAGGCCTAATCCATCAAAGCCCATAGCTCTGGGAAAGTCTCTAAACATACTAACCTTGCTTTCTGGCTTCTTGGTTTTGCTTCTGGATAATTGTTCTTGCTAACTGAAGTATGTCAACCCAAAACATGGCTTTGTGCATAAAAGCTCACCCTGAGAAAGGCTCAATGCTATGTTGGGATCCCAAACACCCAGGTGCAGTTGCTGGCTGGATAATAAAGACTTTCTATTGGCTTCTCTGGTGGACACCCCAGAACACCAGAGCAAACACACAAACATGAACAAGCGAGATGACAGAGCTCCCCCAGAGGCCAGCAGCCCTGCTGAGGCAGGCCCTGAGACACACAAGACAGCTGAAGTACAGTGTGAGGGCATCAGAGCAGTAATTATGACTGTTTGAGGACCTTAAAGGGGGCACAAATAAATCCCTTCCTGATGTCTGTGGAGGACAAACAGTTGAATGAAGTAATGAAAATAACTGAAGACAGAGATGTAGAAGTTCACAAAGAGAGTCAAGCCAGGTGTGGTGCCATGTGCCTTTGGTCCCAGCACTCGAGAGACAGAGGCAGGCAGAGCTCTGGAAGTTCAAGACCAGCCTGCTCCACAGAGAGAGTTCCAGGACAGTCAGGGCTGCAAAAAGAGATCCTGTCTTGAAAATAAATTAACAAGTTAGTAAATAAATAAAATCACTAAAGAAAATCTCAACTGAAAATGAGACGGAAAAATGCAGGCTACCAGATGAACCTGAACTCAGTGCCCAGCATGTGTGCTCCTCACTGGGAAAGCTTCCTGAGGAGACAACACAGACCATGACTAGACACTGCAGAGAGCGAGGCACCACCAGAACACTTGGTCCTAATGGTGTCTTCATTGACCTCTACCCCAGGCTCAGGGATGTAGAGGAAGAGAAGGAAAGCTTACAACGGCCAGAGGGAGGGAGGGCATCCCTGAGCTAAGAGGGAGGTGGACATGAGCTCCCACTACTAACCAAGTAGCTATCTCTAACTGTCATCCATGTGCAAAGGAGAAGTCAGCTTCTCCAATCGAGTCTGTGGATGTGAGCCACACTTCTTTGTAGGCCCTGTGCCCTCTACTGTTAGCCGAGACAAACTGAAGTCAGTGGGTTTTGTTTATGTTTTTGCTTTTTGTTTGTTTTGGTCTTTTTGGTCTTTTTAAAATTATTTTTGCTATTGTGGATTTTATATGTGTTTCCTGGTGTTTCCTTTGTTTTTGTTTTGTTGGGTTTTGGTTTTTGTTTTCAGACAGGGTTTCTCTGTCCTGGCTGTCCTGGAACTCACTCTGTAGGCTGTTGGCTGGCCTTGAACTCAAGAGATCTGCCTGCCTCTGCCTCCTGAGTGCTGGGATTTAAGGCTCCAGCTACCTGCACTTAGTTGTTTATTTATTCATTTGTTATAAAAAGAGAGAAAGCAGAAAGCTGGGGGGGGCAGCGGGGAGGGTCTGGGAAGAGGAATATGATAAAATACATTGTGCAAAAATATTTTTCAATTAAAAGAAATAAATGTAGACACTTGACTGATCTGAAACTACGGATACAGAAATAACCCGAGAGCTCTTAGCTGTTTCAATAAATATATCTGCCCTGAACCCCAAGACCCTAGATACCAGGGATGCCCCCCCCAATGGTTGATGTATAGTGGAGCACAGCCTGCTCTCAGAATAAACCTGTCACCCCAAAGATCAGGCCCAGAATGCGGTCCCCATGATGTCATCCTCTCTTCATAGCCTACAGAGCAGGTGGCGAAGTGAGGGGTGGGGCGGGGGTAACACACTGGATTGGATCGGCTTACCCAGCCCCACAACTTTGTCAGGCCTAGCAAGCAGCTACTGGATGTGTCCTAGAGAGCCAAGGAGGGACACAGTCCTCACAGGATCCCAAGCAGGTACAAAGAGTGGGCTAAGGGACCTTACAGGGATACAAGGTCCAAAGCTTGGGTGGCAAATTACAGCATAGGCAGGACTCAGCGACAGCAGCAGCTGCAGCAATTCCTACAGTCCCTTGACAAAGCCCCAGCTTTGGGCTTTCCTGCTGGGACGTGACAGGCCAGCCTGGAGCACCTCACAAGCTGGCCTTCTTTCAGGAGTAGGACAATGGGTACATGAGACAGCCTCTCCTCCTGCTCCTGACTGTGTAGACCAGAACTTTTTCTCTCAGCTTGGAGTGTGAATTAATCTCCATGCGTCATATGACGGGGTGGGGTGGGGGTGGATTTTGTTACCTAATAGGTTTCTCCTCTGATGCAATAAACCAACTCAAGCCAAATTAAAAAAAAATATATAAAAGCAGCCTCACACCTTGAATCCCAACACTAGAGGCAGAGGCAGGAGAATCTCTGAGTTCAAGGCCAGCTTGCTCTATAGAGTGAGTTCCAGGACAGCCAGGGCTACACAGAGAATGGTGACTTGAGAAACAAAAACACAAACGAAACAGAGGATAAAAGAAAAAAAGAAGAGGAGGGAAGGAGGGAGGGAAGACAGACAGACAATGGAAAGAACAGTCAACAGACAAAAGCTCATAGCACAGCAACACAAATTTAATGCTGTTCC